TCCGCTGTTGGCGGGTTGAGTGCACCATATGAAAAGGCTTCTCATGTACATGAAAGGTCAGTTGTGAATTGGCTTTGGGCAGCTGGTTGTCATCCATTTGGACCATTCTCTAATACTTCTCAAGTCAGTCAAATGCTTCAAGATGTTGCATTGGTAAGGCCAGTCTTACAATGCCAAATTCTGCACAACTATCATAAATGACACTTCAGCATTTGCTTCATGATGACCATATATTTGCAAGTTGGCACACACAAACAGACATAAAAATGTTGACACTTTCTTTAAGATTGTGATATCTAAAGTAATTGTTAATCTTTTTGGCAGAGGAACACAATATATGCACGTGTAGATTCTGCTCTCCTCAGAATTCGTGAGACGTCAGAGGTAATTTGGTCTTTCATTTGCCCATTTATTAGAAATTAGTTGTATGATTTTATGCTTATATGGTTTCCACTATTTTCTTCAGGCTGTACAAACTTTTGCAGCACAGTATCTAAAAACTCCGCTTGGTGAACCAGTGAAGGGAAAGAGGAACAAAACAACCACTGAACTATGGGTGGAGAAGTTTTACAAAAAAACAACTAACTTGCCTGAACCGTTCCCACACGAATTAGTTGATAGATTGGAGAACTACTTGGATGTAAGTCATTCCTACTTTTAAAATTCCTGTGTTTCTCAAACATCTTGAAGATTGTTAACACATGTAAGACAATCAAAACAACAGAACCTTGAGGAACAGCTTGTAGATTTGTCTTCATCGTTATATGGTCATCGCTTACAAGATGCACATTTGAACAGTTCAGAGATTCTCCAGAGTTCCATATTTACCCAGCAGTAAGTTGCCGTATTGTATGTGTTTAGTTTTGTTTCATATTGTGATTTCCCATGCAGTGAAAGGCTATCAGTGATTGTTGAACCTGAAGATCAGTGGAGCAGGGTTTCTTTCATTTTAATTGCTAATAATCATTTGCACGATGCAGGTACGTAGACCATGTTCTGGCCAATGAGAAGGAAAAGATGAAATGCTGCGACATTGAGTACAAATATCCTGTGCAGGCATCTCAAACTTATATCTATGGGGGGATTCTTATTGCCGGATTTGTTGTATATTTTGTTGTCATTTTCTTTTCATCTCCCGTGCGCTGACTCTAGTTTAGATATTTTATGGCAAAACGGATACCCATCAACCCTGATTCCCGAGGCACAGATTACACTGAAGAAATGTAGGAGCAA